CCCCCTCCTTTCTTCCTCTGTTCCTCCACTCACCTTGGTGTTCACGCAGCTGCAGCAACTCCTCCTCACCAGTCCCACTGCTCCTCCCCACGTCCCTTCTTAAATACGTTATCGCAGAGGCGCAGCTGATGGGATTGGCCTTGGTGCAGCAGTGGGGCCGACTTGGAGCTTGGGGAGCTCTGAGAAGCTTCTCACAGGGGGCCACCCCTGTAGCCCCCTCCTCTGCTACCAAAAAAAACCCCAAATCACTCAAACTCAGGACAAAATGTAGTTTTGTGGTGAGATTGCTTAAGTACTGGAGCAGGTTGCCAAGAGAGCTTGTGGAATCTTGGTGTTTAGAGATGTTCAAAACCTGGCTGGCTGGTGTCCTGAGAAACTTGCCCTAGCTGACTCTGCTTTGAGCAGGTGTTTGGACTATATGATCTCCAGAGATCCTTTCCAGCCTCATCTATTCTGTGAGTATCCTGGAATGGTGCATGGGTTCCTTTAACTTCTCTTTTAGATCCCTGTGAATTGAAAAGAGCAGCTAATGAATTACATTCCAGTAGTTTGTAAAATGTGACATTTGGAACTGTGTTAAGTTGGTGTTTTAAATTAAGAATAGGTCCTCACTTCTTTCTTATGTGATAATCTAAAGACTTTAGGAATTCCTGTCACTTGAATCTGGTATGATACCTCTGTCTCTTTTCTGAGTTTGTTTGTGTGCTCTTTGCTTCTGAAGGATATATTGGTGGAGACAAAGGTACTTCAGTTCTTGAGTACAAGATCAGTAGAGATAGGAGGGTCAATGGTTTTTAGTGCTGTGTACAGTTGGATGCCCTCGGTGTTCATTGCTGTGAGTACATAAACATGGGTGTGGTGTAAGACTTCAGCATGTCTCTCATGCTGGGATATGCACAACAGTAGTATTAATTGGTGTGTGTTTCCTAAGGACCCTTCTGGAACGTTGTCTGTAAAAAGTGAAGTAGATTTTGACTACGCAGGGAAAGACTAAAGTGAAATTCTTCACCAGTTATCTTATGTTTTATGTCCTTTTCTGAAGAATCAGGTGAGGCATATTTCAGTACCAGAGCATGGACTGGAAGGTGGCAAAAAGAGGTGGCATTTGGGTGTTCTGTTTGTAACTATGGGATGTACAGAACTTATTTAGAAACAGCTTTCTCTTGATCTGGCTTCTGGAATAGTTTAAACTAATTCAGGTGTTGAGGGGAAAGTTGCCAAGGTCAGAGAATACTTGTATTTTAAAAATAATAATCTGTTACAGGTATGTTTCAGTCTGAGTCACACAGAGGCAAATCTCAATGCTGCTGTTGTAACAAAAAAATGTTACAGTTGAAAATTGGTAGGTGATATTGTTAGGTGATATTTTTGGAAAACTAACATCAGTAATAGAATAAACAGATGGTAGTGAAAAGTACGAATCTTGATTATCAGCATTAAATTTGAGGAAAAATGGAGCAGTTGATGGGCCTGTGGTAGTTGAGTTTGATGTCAGAGTCATATCTGACAGGTGGTGTCTCCCAGTGAACATGGACTGTAATACGCAATTGTAAAATCATATTAGGAAAGTGTAGAAGTGCAGAAGCAGAGAAGCTTTTGCAAAAAAATACATGACACGTAATTAAATATAATGGTGGGATAATGATGCTAATACCTTGATCAGGAAAAGAAAAGGAGACCACAGGCAGTACCTCTTCAGCAGATAGCACTTGGATTTGGGTTTGTGGTTTTGTATTTTGGCATGAACCAGTGAAATGTTAGAGGGAGGGAGATTTTAGAGAAATGATTTTGTGATGTCTTACAGAATGGCTCACGTGTGTGGAAAGGAGCTAATCTTAGGACTAATCAGTACATGGGAATTTCAAAGGACCCTTACTAATAAACTAATCCTGCTGTATATTCAACAATCTGTAAAAGGACTAAGCAAATTTCTGTATGCCAACACTGCAGTTCAGGAAGGGAACTCATGTTGCCCTTCATGTTAGAGCAATGCCTACAAAGGTACTGCCCCTAGATTTCACAGAGCTCTTTGCTGATCATGTTGCCTGCCTCCCCACCAACCCTCCACGACAGCCTTTAGCGCAAGTGATCTGGTAGTCTCGCTGATTTCAGTTCCCATCTGTCTGTGGACATCAGATTGTTCTTGTTTAAGTCTTGCTTCTTGCCTTAGATCTTAAGTCTTGCTTCTATATGTTGCTTAATAAGCTCCACTCCTGACCTTTGAAGATGACTCCTAAATGCTACACTTACAAAATTCTCCTCCAAATGCTAAATTTCTAGAATCCTCCTCCAAAATAACAACAAAAGGGGGGAAAATGCCAAGTAAAAAAGCATATCATTCAAAACTGAAGAAGTGTAAAGTCTTCAAATAGAACCTACTGAAGGAACAACTATTAAGACAGTGGGGGTACACCCATGAAAAAAGTAGAAACAAATAAATAAAAAATCCAATGAGAACATGAACAGGAAATGTGAACAAAGTAGGTAAAAACTCTGTGTGGACACCAGAGTAGCTCTTCAGCAAACTTCATAACTTCACCAAAGAGTTATAAACAATGAGAATACCTCTACGTCTTAACCAGACTCATGAGGAGTGCTTAGGGTGATCAAACTTTAAGGGAGTAATTCAGATAGATAAAGGTACTGAATAATATTTTAATGTTATGTGGTAATGGCTAGGACCTGAGCAAGAATAGCGCTCCACAGTACAAATAATATCACATGGTTACTTAAAATGGATTAATTATTGATAGTTAATCAGTGTCAGGGAAATTGGAAACAGGATCTTTTTAAAAAAAGAAAACTGTTTCTTCAAACAGTAAGAATTTACAACATAAGGTAATGGAGAAAAAGAACATATGATCAAAGTGCTCTTGCATAAATCTTGAAAAAAAAGCAGGCTGTTGGGAAAATTTTCAGTATGTTCATGAAGTGGCAGCTAGTTAAGGAAAGGAAGGTAAAGCACATACATGATTTCATTCAGTGCTACATTATGGAAATTTCTGAAATGTGTTGAATGCTCTTTGAAAGCATAAGTGATCAATCTGGAGATCAAAGTGGAGCAAGAAGTTTTGTTGAGAGTGGTGATTCAAATAACAAATTCGTTTCCTGGAAGTGGCTTTATCTTTCATTGTAGCTGAAGGCTCTGTGGGTCCTACAAGGAAGCACCTCTGTGGTGATTGCAAATGGAACCCGTCTGAAGATCTGAGGTCATGTTGTTATAAGGCTGGTTTCCCCAAATTGCCCAATTATGGGAGTCAAAGCCAATTAAAAGTTCAATTGTTTATTCAGCAAGCGGCAACAAGCAAAACAGCGCTGGGCGGCCGGGGAGTTCAACTCTGCCAATGGCGCACGCCCCCTCCCCAAAAGTCTTTCCTTTTATATCCTCCACCTTCTGGTACCTGTGTCTCTCCGAGAGGGGTGCTCTGCGTCTGCACACCTCGTTGCTGGGGGGTCGTTCTCTGCCTCCTGGTGGTCGTGGGGATGAGGATGAAGGCTCCGTGTCTTCCTCGCGTCACGAGCTCCTCGTAATTCTTGCTTCCTTCCCTCAACCCCCCCCTTCACAATCTCGCTGTACCCTGTTCGCTTAGCGAAGCGCTTGCAGTTAGTCCTACACAATTTAGCAATATGATTAGCCCTGCATAGCTCAGGTGGCAACATCCTTCCCCCTTATCTTCAATGGAATTTTGATGAACAAACAATGTACTACCTATCACAATATCCACAAATGCTTTTAAAAAAGTATTTGGATTTCAAAGTTAGGTCAAGTTATCTAAAAATCGTAAGCAGGACTTTTTTTTTTTTTTTTTTTTTTCTCTCATTTATATTAATGCTGGGTAAAAGCAGAAGTTGATTTGGAAACCTGTAAGCTGAAGGGTGATTTCCAGTAAGGGGTACGTTTTTTTGGTTTGGTTTGTTTTTTTTCCCTTTTGTGAAGACTTCAGTATTTTATTGGCTCCCTCAGTATTTCTAGGCTGCAGAAGCAGCCTCACAGGCACTATGGAATCACTTCTCCCATTAGCTGGGCTCCTCCTGAGGATGTGGATTGCATCCATACTCAGAAGCCAGTTGCAGCAACGAAGCCGTTTTGGGTATTTGAAGAGGAGGAGGAACTGAATCACCTGTATAACAAGGGTAAAATTCGTTAACCTCTTGGGTTTTTCAGGGCAAACTTAACATGAGTTTCCTTTACAAGCTGGTGGTTCTTGGTAAGCTGAATAACTTGTTCCAAGAATGGATTTCAGAATTTGGTGAGAGCAAGGTAAGGGTTTTTTATATGCTGTTATCAAAACAGCTGGCACCTTTTTATTTCTCTTAAAGGCCATACTACTAGGATTTATGCTGAAGTCGAACTTTTAACTTTCTCCTTAAGTATTGAGTAGAGCTGTAGCAACTGCCATTGAAATAAGGTATAAAAGATACTACAGTTCACAATCTTGAAGTCTTTGGGGCACTGAACAAATGTGTGAAGTGGCTCTGTGGGTTGACTTGTAGCAGCTAACAAAGCTGAAGCAACGTATTGTGGGGTGAGCTAGGTGGGAAATGGGCACTAATCTCGCCCCAAACAGCCTGCAGCACCCGGTGTGGTTTGAAACTATGACACTAAACTTGCCTTTTGCAGAGATTGTGTTCCTTTATGTGCATCTGCTGTGGGGAAGACTAATAATAGTCCTTAATTTGTGTAAATTAATGAAAGGGCTGCTACATTACTCATCTATTTTGTTTGGTTTTGTTTGTTTTTTTTGTTTTTTTGAGTTGCAAACACTCATTTCAGAAAAACAGCAGCAACCTGTTAGACTAACAACTCAGTATGGGAGTGAGAAGACACTGTTTATGGAGGCTGTTGTAGTCTTTCTAAGAAACCTGCATGCTACCTAAACTTGCACACAGGTCAATGTGTATCTTCTGTTCTAAAGCAAACGCTTTCTCTTCTACCCACAGAATCTTCCCCCTTCAGCAGCAGCAAATTTTGGTGTCAAAATATTTACCTTTGATTCTTACAGGCTTGGAGTACACACTCAAGGTAGAACTTTCATTGTCTGCTCATAGTTCTGATGTTTGAAAGTGACTTCTAACAATAACAGAAGAAATGGAATCTCTTTGCAGGTGCTGACATAGATGCTGTTTGTGTTGCTCCTAGACATGTAGAAAGATCGGATTTTTTTCAGTTGTTCTTTGAAAAACTGAAACATCAGGAGGAAATAAAAAACCTAACAGTGAGTAAGCGCTCTCCTTGATAATCGTGCAACTTCTACAGTAAGAATGTTCATGTTAAAGACTCATATTGGTAGAGGATGTCTTACAAGACAAAATTTAAAAATAAATTGTTTCTGAGCGCCTTCTAAAATGCTATCTTATGCAGCATGGAAATGCTGAAGTCGAGCTTTTGGTTCCTTTCCCCAGTGGCTGTACATCACGTAAGAATCTTTGTGGTCCGCTTCTCCCCTGCCCTTGGTTTGAGAATGAGTTGGCTGTATCAAAAAGCAAGGCTGTCCCTGGGAGCCCTGCTTTCATCTCCGGTGCAGTAAGGGGCCTGGACATGCACGCCGGGGGAGGAGGGGGCAGCCTGAAAACTCAGGAAGGTGACGGTGATGTGGAAAGGCTCCTGTCAGTCCCTTGGCCGTGCTGTTCCTCTGGATAGACTTTAGGAGCTCTCGTTCATCCTCCTCTGGCCACGTTCCTCTCTGGCTCCTCAGCCTGAGCCTTTGCGGCCGGGATGCACACTGTCAGCTTTCCAGAAAGTTCACAGGGCTGTGCTGGGAACGTACAGAACTGCTGTGTAAAATGCCCCTCGGGTGCATGCATGGCGTACCTCGCACGTAAAACTGAGCTCCTGGGAAGTGTTTCTCAGCCTGGGCTTCCTCACGCAGACGATTTGAAAGACTTCATGTGCATAGCTACGGAGCCTTTGTTTAGGTGACTGTCACCTGAAAATGGGCTGTCAGCGGGCTGTGGCACAGCTCTGACAAGTGCTCTACAAAACTGAAGACTGTGCCGGAAGGCAGCTGACAGCATCTCGGGCACAGTAGAAAATAAAAATAGAGAAGACTAGTGCACACTGTGAAATGTGGACAGAATTTGTTAGATTTTTCTGGATGTTAACCAGCAGTAAGATAGCTACAGAAATCTCTTACTTTTCTTCCTCACTGCCAAGGTCAGTACCTTACAGCCACTGATCCTGGTGGCTCACTGTGTGCTGTTTGTTCCTTACAATCCATGATCAGCCTCAGAATCTCTTGGCTAAATAGCTTCTTGATGCCAGTATTAGTACAGTATTAGTGCTATACTGCTTGCAGCTTACTACCAATTTTTTTGGTTCGGAAGCAACTCAGTCTTTATGCTGAATAGTTTAGCAGTGTAAATTATGTATTTTGTCATAGTTTAGGAAAAAGATTAAAGTAGCAAGAAATGTTTCTTACACAGTGATCCTCTCCTTTACAGGCAGTTGAAGATACGTGTGTTCCAGTTGTCAAGTTTGAGTTTGATGGCATTGAGGTAAGAATTTTGCAAAGATACCTTGTCCTCATGGCACCAAGGCCACGTTGTCTCCTCGCACAGGAGGTGCCGTACTGTTGTCCCTCACTTGGCCTCACCCCCTGAAACACATCCCAGGAAGAGGCCTGAGACTCATGCGATGGACAGGATCTCTCTTCTGAGGGGCTGGGGTCAGGGCTTGGCATTTGGCTTGATAAAACACACCGAGGCTTTACACTGCATCAGAGCCACCAGCACGTTGCCTTTGACTGGCATCACTGCCTGCAATTTCCTGCTCTGATGAGTCCATGGCGAGCCTCTGTTGGTAATGTTGGGAATACTCCAAGAAACTTGAACTCTTGCTGCTGACTCCGACTCATTGAGCAGTTTGTGCAAGCTCCTCTCAGCCTTGCACATCCACACGCTCAGCACCAAAACCACCACGGGGCTCGTTACAAGGCAGAGAGCCCTCAGGTGCCTTATCTCTGTCCATAATTTTCTTAAATCTTCAAGACTTCTGCAGCTAATTGTAGAGGTTTCAGGACAGTAGTTAAAGAGGAAGAGTTCAGATGAGCCTTTCAGATAAAAGGTAATATTGTATTTTTAAGGTAATATTGTAATTTTTTTGTAGGCTTGTTTACAGAAGAAGTGATAGCAGCGTTCTCCAAGTGATAGTGATGCAGACGGTCGCTAGGCAGATATGGGTGATACAGGGCCTAGATAGGAACAGGGGATGTAAGGGTTAATATGGGAATAGCAAGAAGGGGATGACGAAATAGTCGAGATAAGGGTTTGCCTAGCTTGTACGAGGTGTTTGTGTTGCTCGACCACTATCTCCTGTTTAAGTAAAAAGCCTCCTCCACCCCTGAGTAAGCGAAGATTACCCCACAACGGCACAAACCTGCTCTGCGGGTCCAGGGGGGTGACAGAGACTGCGCAGACTCAACTGGGAGGAGATCATGGAAATGCTAATTTTAATACGAAGCGGGGATAGGTGATGCATATGTATAGGCGTATTGCGAAATATTATGAATATGTAATCATTTGCTCTATAAATCTAAGGCAATGGTGCCACATGGTAGCACATATTTGGAGGAGTGATCCCCTATGTGCCCAGCGCTGAATAAACATACCTACTTTACAATCTACCAGATTGTGGAGTCTGTTTTCCGCACGTCAGTTTTGGCGAGCCAGCCAGGAGACTCTCTGCTCGACTACGGGATCGACTGCGGGGCGGACTCTCCCAGGCGCGCCCCGAGCACTTTCCTCGGAGGAGCCTCCGCTACCAGCCGCTCACCGTGGGGGGCAGACAAGGACTTCCTGAAGCCGCGGACCAAACGGTATGTTCAAGGATAGGAGCCTGTAAGTCGTACGCGTGGCTGGGGCAGCTGGTAAATCGCGCAGAGACGTCTGGCGTGCAGCTAAGCCGGGTAGGTGCACCGAAAAGGCGCGAATTCGTGCGGGTTAGGGGAGTCTAGAGGGCAATATTTTGCCGCAGACCGATAGAGCGGTCGCTGGCTCCATTTGGGTTAGGGGAGTCTAGAGGGCAATTATATTTTGCCGCAGACCGATAGAGCGGTCGCTGGCTCCAAATTGAAAGGCCTTTGTTTTGTTGTGTTTTCTTCTGTTTTGTTGTGTTCTGTTTGTCGTGCGGGTGAGGGGAGTCCGGGGGCAATTACATCTTGCCACAGACCCATAGAGCGGTCACTGGCTGCAATCGGGGGGGACCTGTTGGCCGATAGGGCGGCCACAGGCAAGAGTGATTGAAAAGGCGTTTTGTTTTGTTTTGTTTTGTAGTGTTTTATTTTGTTGTGTTCTGTTTTAACTTCAGATGAAAGTGCTGTAAGTATGTGGACATCCATGAGAATGGGAGATTGTGAGTGATTGCTGTGTGGTGATCATAAGATTGTGAGTGACTGCTGTGTGGTGATCGTGTTAAGCGAGTATTTTACAGAAACAAGATGGGTAATACTCAGAGAGGGGTGTTAAAAAAGAGCCCTCTCGGCTGTATACTCTCCCATTGGCGGGACATTGCAGGGAGCAGAGGCACGGAAAGCAAAAGGACTCTTGTAAAATATTGCAATCAGTGGTGGCCGCTGTATAAGCTGGAGGATGGTGCTAAATGGCCGCTTAATGGAACACTGGACTATAACACTTTGTTACAACTTATGTTGTTTTTAAGGAGAGAAGGAAAATGGGATGAGGTATCATACGCAGATATGTTTTTCACTTTGCGAAACCACCCAGAGTGGCAAAGGGACTGTGGGTTAGTACCCCCACAGGACCCTATGGTGCTCGCACTTGAACGAGAAAGTAAGGAAAGTAGGGGTAAGCTAAAGAGGTGTTGCTCATCATGTAGTATTGGACAGAGATGTACAAAGGTGGATAAGGTTGAAAACTTCAGAAGCTGCGCCCTATGGAAAGTGGGAATCTGGAGGTATTGTTAGAGGAGGCGTGTAAAGTGTTTAGCAACAGGGAAGAAGAAGGTCGACAAGGACAGATGAAGTTGATGGCCACTCTGGTTCAGAAACCGGCCAGGCAACGACCGCGGCTGGGGCGGGATCAGAGTGCTTTGTGCAAGGGTTGGAGAATGGGAAGGCTTCAATGAATGTCAAATGTAACAGAGGACTGACGGGGACCTGGGGGATCTACCCTGGCGGATCCACTGGTTAAACTTAAGCTGGGGAGAGAACAAGAAGAAGTAGAACTTTTGGTAGACACAGGAGCAACGTACTCGGTTTTGAATCAAGCTTTAATACCACTGGGGGACGACTATGTTATGGTAAAGGGAGCGACCGGCCAATCTGAAAAGGCGTATTTTTGTAAACCTTTAAATTTGATTTGGTTTACTGTCTTAGATTTGAAGGACGCCTTCTTTTGCCTTCCTCTCCATAAAGCCAGCCAAAAGTTGTTTGCATTCGAAAGACCCAGCTCACCTGGACAGTGTTGCCACAAGGGTTCAAGAATAGCCCTACTCTTTTGGCAACCAGCTTGCAAAGGACTTGGAATCCTGGGAAGCCCCATCCGAAAAAGGAAAATTATTGCAGTACGTGGACGACATTTTGATCGCTACTGAGACAGAAGAGGACTGTGCAACGTGGACGGTGAGCTTGTTAATTTTTTTGGGACTACGGGGGTATCGGGTCTCTAAGAAGAAAGCCCAGGTGATACAACGTAAAGTAAACTACCTGGGCTATGAGATCACTGCGGGGCAAAGAACTTTGGGACAGTCCCGTAAGGAGGCCATATGTCAAACCCCGAAACCTCAGACAGCAAAAGAATTAAGGACCTTCTTGGGAATGACGGGGTGGTGCAGGCTATGGATCTATAATTATGGACTGCTTGTTAAGCCCCTGTATGTGCTAACGAACACCGAACAGACGCACCTCGAATGGGATGAGGAGGCTGAGCGAGCCTTCGATTCACTGAAGAAGGCTTTGATGTCGGCCCCGGCTCTAGGACTCCCAGATGTGAGTAAACCGTTTCTTCTCTTTTCTTATGAGAAGCAGGGCATTGCCCTGGGAATACTGGCACAAGACCTAGGTCCATACCGACGAGCTGTCGCCTACCTCTCTAAACAAATAGATGCGACTGCAAAAGGGTGGCCTGGGTGTCTGTGAGCGGTGGCTGCCCTGATATTGAACATACAGGAAGCTCGGAAGTTCACTCTGGGCCAGAAAATGACTGCTTATGTGTCCCATACAGTATCGGCAGTCCTGGAAGCAAAGGGAGGGCATTGGCTCTCCCCACAAAGATTTCTGAGATACCAAGCTGCACTAGTAGAACAAGATGATGTACAGATAATAGTCACTAATATTGTCAACCCAGCTTCTTTCCTCAGCGGTAACGTGGGGGAACCAGTGCACCATGACTGTCTGGAAACAATTGAGACGACATATTCAAGTCGCCCTGACCTGAAGGAAAGCCCCATGAAGGATGAGGAGAACTGGTTCACGGACGGAAGCAGTTACGTCCTGAACGGTAATCGACACGCGGGGTATGCCGTTACCACCAGTCAAAAGGTAATAGAATCAGGACCTCTGCCTGCAAATACTTCTGCACAAAAGGCAGAAATAATCGCTTTAACTCGAGCCCTGGAACTGGCCAAGGGTAAGATCATAAACATATACACAGACTCCAAATACGCTTTCGGAGTTGTGCACGCACATGGAGCAATTTGGAAAGAAAGAGGACTATTGAACTCCCAAGGGAAAAACATCAAACATGCGGAGGAAATTTTTAAACTATTAGAAGCTGTTCAACTTCCTGAGAAGGTGGCGATTATGCATACTAAAG